TTCCAGAAGCACAAAAAGCAGCTAAACTTTGTGTATCCACCTTGGAGACCAGTGTGTATAGCAACAACCTTCAAGTCACAACATATTTCCCAATTGTAGGATTTGTAGTCAATTAGTTCCATAAGCAGTTTCATGGTCTCATATGTTTCCTTGACGTTACTGGAATAAATAGGCATAGACGGTTTTTCGTTTCCCTTATACAGTAAAACAGCTTTAACGCCATAATTGCTTCCGTCAATAAATAAACTCCTGTCAGCAGGATTGTGATGTTCTCCTACTGCTTCAAATAACTCTGAAACGTTATTGCAAAAACAAAAATCATTAGTTTTTGAAAAAAAAATTTCAAAAATTTTGCCTTGATTTCTGTAAAATAAAATTCGAGTTTCCGTTTTTAAAAAACCATGTTCCCTTAATCGGGAAGCAAGAACTTCTAACTTTTCTTTCGAAAATTTAAATCTCGACACAGGTCATAGAGATCTTCTTGACTCATAGGCTTCCGGACGGAATTTCCCGATTCTGAATGTTCAGATTCACTTGAATCACTTGTAGTCTCTTCATCAACTGGAACAACATTATTATTTCGGTTGATTGTTGGCTTTTGAAAATGCGAGGAATGTTCTTCTACTTTGGATACTGATGCTACATCGGGGTAAACTAATTTGCCAAATTTTCCACCGCAATCAGTATTGTGATCCATTGGATTTCTCCACAGAACCGGCCTTCCAAACGTTAAATATTTTTCCTTTGCACTTTTAAACAAGAGTAACCGACTTGAACATGTGAGGCAAATTGACTTAGAAGTCCATGGTTTAGATACGTTTTTTGGATCAATGCCGAAGTACTGTTTGTAAGCACAGACACCATCTGTTATTTTAACACACTTTTTTGGGTTGAGGAAATAACACCCGCAAACGTAACAAAATCTCGAAGGAGAATTTTTGCACATTTTTAAACTGTTATTTTTCGAAAGAAGTTTTACGAAAAGATTACTTAATTGCTCTTGATTGAGTCAAGAACTGTAGTGCACCCAAAATTTGCAAAATGTTCTTCTCAGAGGACCACCGATTTTCTTCCACTACTTTTTGTTTAAAACGCACTTCCTTGATAGTCATTTGGATTTCTTTTCAGCATTTGAAAAGCAATTTTTTTGGGATGAAGGAATGCTAGGCGACTATTGCTGGATGCAAATGCGGGAAGTTTCTTATTATCATGGGGGAAAAAGTATAAATAATAAAGTCTTTTGTCGATCTTAAAAATTTCTTGCTTACCAAAAACCATACATTCTTCGAAGAGGCTCCACCGATTTTGTTTTACGATTTTAGTTTAAATACCTTAAATGTATTTGAAATATGTTTCGGTATACTTAATGTACAACAAATACTCCTATTTTGTTCATATGTCAAAAAGCAAACTAACAAAAGCAGGTCACTTGCCTTTAAAAGCATTTTTTGGAAATGGGTTGTTTCACTTAAAAATGCATATCTCCTAGAATTTGCACTCCATTTACAAATATATGGCCTTAGCTTGTTAACAACAAAACAGCCTTTAGATCTAAAAGCTCAAAATATTTTAAACATTTTTATGTGTATTTTTTTTAAGTAAATGAAAACTAGCTATAACAAAAAAACGACAGAAATGAAATTTTTTTGAACTTTCAGAGGTTGTACCTTGCCTTTAAAAAGTGTAAGTTACAAGTTTATTATTATTTATTTATTTACAATGGTTTTTGAGATCTGTACGGTTTTATAAAAGATGTGCCGAAAATCTGAATTTTTGCGAATATCTTCAGAACGGTTCTTTGGGAATTTTTTTAAATTTGTTCAGCGTGATAAGCAACTCAAAACTAATCAAAAACGAGGACGGAAGCTAACTTCGGCAAGCCGAAGTTTTAATACCCTTGCAGATTTCACGAATGAAAACTTGACTAGAATAGCAACATAAATTAATAAACAACAAAATATTCTACAATTGAAAAATAAAAATTAAAAATTTTTCACCCTATTGTTCCTATGGGACCTATATGATATAGACGTCCGATCGGTACGCGATTTTACCCTGACCAAGGTAAGCATAAAGTAATACGATATGGAAAGTTTCATGGGAATAGCTTATATTCTGCGCGAAATATCCTTAAAAACGTCAAATTTTGACCGATTTCACCCTATTGTTCCTATGGGAGCTATAAGATATAGACGTCCGATCGGCATGTGCTTTTACCCTGATGAAGGTATGCGTAAGAGAATAAGATTAATATCAAAAGCTCTTACACAGAGCGAAATATACTCATTTTGTAAAAGCTATATCCGATTGTACCTATGGGAGCTATAGGATATAGACGTCCGACCAGGTCGGCTTTCAAACTTGATCTGCGTACACATGTTTTAGGACAACTGTGAAAGTTTTAAGCTATTGAAACAGACGGACATGGCTATATCGACTCCCCTATTGATCCTGATCAAGAATATATATACTTTATGGGGTCGGAAACGTCTCCTTCACTGCGTTACAAACTTCTGACCAAAATTATAATACCCTCTGCAAGGGTATAAAAATTGGTCTCAAGGCTTACCTTTTTTTTGCTGTAAACTAGTGTTATGTGTAATTTTGTAATCTCATAATTTTAAAAACAATTGAGCGGCAAATTTTTTTCTTTCAAAAATAACACCAGTTTACAAAAAAAAATCGATGAAATATACCATGAATGAAACCTTTGTTTTCCGGTAAGGTACGTCTTCCTGATTAAGAAAATGACACTTAAAATTTTTTTTATGGATAAATTTTTTTTTAAAGTGTTAAAATACGTTTTTGACCCTTTTTTAATTTCTAACTTGAGTTGTGGTTAACCGATTTCAACCATAATTCACTCATTTTACAGGTAATAGAATGCCCTCCAACTTTATTATACATTGCATTGAGTTCAATTCATTAGTTTGGAAGCTACATTTCGTCAAAGTTGAAAAAGTTAGAAAAAATTCAAAAATGCTGGCATAAATGGCTTCGTTAAAAATACACGCCTAAAAACCGAAATTATTTTTATAACTTCTACTGGTAGAAGGTGCTTTGACAAAAAAAAGCACCAGCAAATTATTTTGATATGCATTTTTGAAGCTTGCGACAACGGTGTTTTTTTGGCCGTTTACAGCTGTTAACTGACCTAACAGGGCTCTAACAGGGCTGTAATATCCGTTTTTCCCAACGTAAAAACTTGATATAAAATCGAGCTATTGATTGATTTTTTGTTGATGGTCTTGTTAGTTGACTGAAAGATGTATCTTTAAGAATAAGTCATACAAATAATTTCGGTTTTTAGGCGTGTATTTTTAACGAAGCCATTTATGACAGCATTTTTGCATTTTTTCTAACTTTTTCAACTTTGACGAAATGTAGCTTCTAAACTAATGAATGGAACTCAATGCAATGTATAAGAAAGTTGGAGGGCATTCTATTACCTGTAAAATGAGTCACTTATGGTTGAAATCGGTTAACCACAACTCAAGTTAGAAATTAAAAAAATGTCAAAATCGTTTTTTACACTTTAAAAAAAATTTTATCCATAAAAAAAATTTTAAGTGTCATTTTCTTAATCAGGAAGACGTACCTTACCGGAAAACAAAGGTTTCATTCATGGTATATTTCATCGATTTTTTTTTGTAAACTGGTGTAATTTACGAATAAATAACGGCAAATTGTCGATATAAAAAAATTTGCATTTTCAAAAGTTGCTTTATGCACATGGTACTTTAACAATAAAAATAGTCGTCCGTGTATTTGTTTTTGCTTTGCGTACTATTAAATAGTTAAACTACTATTGAAATAGTTACGCTTACGCGAAGTGTGTATTTTGTTTTTTACCTTGAAACTATTTTTAATAGTGGTTTAACTATGAACAATAGTTACCCTTACATAACTTCTTTAATATAAAAGTATGCAACAGTAATTTTAAAAGTCTTCTGCGATGCCTTATATATAATTCCCAACTGGGTCTAGCCCTTCATGAACCAAGCCCATGTCAGATTTTGAGTCATTAAGACTTTACTTTAAAACTTGTTTTCTGTCTTAAGTCTGGAAGACAAGTGCAACCCCCACCTTTATAAGGTGTAGGATGAAGTTACTTTTGGAAAAGGTTATTACTTTGCTGCACTGAAATAACTATAAATAATTGTATATTTACTATAAAAATAGTAAGGTAACTACAATTTATGGTTTATTTCATTTTTATTTAAATGTCTATTTGGTAAGAAAAGTGGTCAAATACCCCTTAGTGAACCGGGTTGCAAAAAGGGCTCAGCCTGACATTAAAATTAGGTGAAAATGTAAGTCGTTTAGAAAACCTCTTAGATTTACTTGTAATCGCCGGTAGTTGGAAACAGGGTGCAAGCTATAGCTTTGCAGCATGCTCCATCACCCTCGCACTTCCTTTAGCTTAGTGTCATAGTCGAGGCGCCCGACCACATAGGTCTCTCTTGTTCTTGTTGCAAACCCACCCTAACAGAAATTCATATATGTACATATGTACATATGTATGTAATTCAACAGGTTAATAGGCGAGGTTTAATTAAATATATTCACATGTAAGTTACTCAAAATCGTTTTTGATAAAATGTAAGTGGTGGTGTCACAGAAACTTCTTCCACCCAAAAGCGGTTGGTTTAATATAAAAAGATTTCTATGACACCTCAAAATAACATGTTCGAAAACTTTGTTATTTTTACGCTTTTGCCTACATACACTCATATATCATATATATATACGTTTTATTTATGCATACATTTGAATGTTTTGTTTACGCATTCGCATATCTGCAGTTCCAAAATTCATAACTCAAAAACTGCTAACGCAATGCAAAAGTAACAAAATGGCGGTCATATACTTATGAAATGGTCATGATTTTCTGAAGTTTTCTTCATATTAATAGAGTATATAGGGTATATACACATACGACCCATATATGTTGGCAATTTAATGATATAAAACGCTTTAACAGTCCTGAATAAAATTACCTTTGGTCGTCGATAATTTCCTATATGGTTTTTAGCTATAATATATTCCGTTCAATTTAAAACGCCTACGATAACGCATTATAGCCATCGAAATAGTTTTACGCCTTAATAATAACACGCAAATACATCTCGTTTCAATTTATTTTTTATCGATTGCTTTCTTGTAAAAGTCGTTGCAACGTTTCGCGCATGATTCCTAACATTTGGTAAAGTTATTCTCAACACAGTTAGTCAAACACTGATAATGACAGATTAATAAATTCTTGGCAAGCACTTAAAATATATATACTATTTTTATTTAAAATATTTACTATTTTGTATTCACAAGAGAGAGAGCTTTTCCCTTATATTAGAGAATCTTTTAAGATAGCTTAAAGGACGCCATATTAACACAAAAATAGCTTTAAGAACACTGCAAAAAGCTTTTGAGTCGCTGGTTTTCGTCTAAGATTAAAAATCTTAAAGCTCTTTTCCGTTCTAGACGTGTCGCTTTTAAATCCATTTACTGTTAGATGCGCCCAAAGTCCTTGTCTTTACGCTTAGACAATAAAACAATAAAAACATCAGATACAGATTTTAAAAGATACATTCTTTATCTTTCAAACCCCATACCCCAACAAACTTTTAAAAACACAGGGCGGCAACACTACTACTATTTTGACCGCAGCTGTACGCTTTTATGTTTTCGGACTATGTTTTCTAAAACTTGTTTCTCCCTTAATAAAAATCCTAAAATTATTCAAAGTATGGGGTTTGAAAGATAAAAAGTGTATCTTTTAAAAAACTTTAACATCAAATCAAATAATGTATCCGTTTGCCTCTGAGAACTCCGGAAAGTTGGCCAATTTCAGCATTTTTCGAACTTTGAGGTCCTTTTGCTAAGAATCCTTGCGTCGGGGAACTTTTTGGAAAACGCAGTTTAACTTGGGAATTCGTAACAAATCCAAAAAAAAATATATTTTTTTCAAATTTTTTTTATTGTTTTTAGCTATCAAAAAATACTTAAACGTACAAATTTCAGACAGTGGCCAATTTCATTACAAACATTTCTGTAAAAGCAGCATGATGATCGAGGCATTACTTTTTGAGTTACTCGATCCGCAGCTGAGGAAAACGTGGTTTCGAGAAAAAGGCATTTAAAGTAATGGAATATATCTACTGCACAAGGAAGGTGGGTGCCGCCATTCTGGCATAAGTTCCAAAATAGGTAGAATTTCTTCGTGAAACTTTCATGACACATTTTTAGAGAATTATTCTACCAATTTAAAGAATAAAATAAAAAATTGAGTTTTTATTTTTTCTATCGGGTGTGTCACAGAAAACCATTCCAACCGAATTTCCCCCGAATAGCAAATCTCGGTTTCACAGACGTCATTTTTGACAGTTTATAAATCCCCCGTATTTTGCCGGACGTTTTGATAAAATTACCCAACTTACAAGTGTTTCCCAAAAATATAACTTTATTTAAGACAACTCTAATGAATACTACGATTTTTATACCTACTTCGGGTTAAATTTAAAAATATGCTTTTTATTAAAACTCTCGAAAAAATTAGCTAAAAAAATCCGACGGCAAACCGTCTACCTGGCAGTGTTACCAATTAGCTAGAACTTTAAAATACAAAATTTGTCCAAAGGGCATAGCAGACTTACCTAGGGAAAACGGCCCCCAGCGATTTTTAAAAATTTTGAATCAGCGATGGTAGATAATTAGAAGGAGAATATGGAAACCAATTTTCAAAGCTATTGGACATTTGGCTGAGGAGTAATCGTCTGCAATCCAAAAATGTATTTAAGCTTATATCTGACCAACGGAAACGCTTAACTGAAAATTAGTGATGAGAAATCAAAGGGATAAGAAATAGGTCCTCGCTAAAGAAGCTTGGAATTTTTAAGACTTTTTAAAAGTGCAGAAAAACGCGATTAAAATTTTCAAAAAAATTTTTGACCACTTTCAAGTTTTTGCAACACCACCAATTTTTTACAGCTCCTGTGTCTTTTAACCATTGAATTAATAAAAAAAAATCATAATTTTATAGGTGGTGCAACAGTGTCAAAGAAAGGAAAAACTAGATTTCAAGTAGTTTTGTGGGACTTTTTCTACAACCCGGCCACCCCAGTTTTTTTTTTAAGTTTTTGAAGTGCACAGTACCAACTTGATTGCAAAGCCCATTGCTTCCAATATTTATTCTCACACCTATTTTGGCACTATCATCACTCTTTTGCCGTATTTTGGCGTTAGAAAGAAAACACGAAATCAATTTTATCTTTCGAGCAGAAAGCACGATTTGCATAATTCAAAAGCAGAAATATCTGTCTTTTCATGGCCGATTACGAGATAAAAAAAATAATGCTTTCAGACCATTGATGACCCAGCGATACCATTTTTTAAGTCCAAAAGTAGGCTTTTAATATGTAATACACAAAATTGTATATGCTTTGGAAAAAAATAATAGGTCAATGAAAAGAATTCATAGCGAATTCCTCAACGGAGATGCCACATTGAATCCAGTGAATTGGGATAGAATGGTATTTTTTAAACTTACCTATTGGCCGAAATCCTACTTTTGGACTTAAAAAATGGTCTGAACATCTATGGACATCTATGGTCTGAAAGCATTATTTTTTTATCTCGTAATCGGCCATGAAAAGACAGATATTTCTGCTTTTGAATTATGCAAATCGTGCTTTCTGCTCGAAAGATAAAATTGATTTCGGTTTTCTTTCTAACGCCAAAATACGGCAAAAGAGTGATGATAGTGCCAAAATAGGTGTGAGAATAAATATTGGAAGCAATGGGCTTTGCAATCAAGTTGGTACTGTGCACTTCAAAAACTTAAAAAAAAAAAACTAGGGTGGCCGGGTTGTAGAAAAAGTCCCACAAAACTACTTGAAATCTAGTTTTTCCTTTCTTTGACACTGTTGCACCACCTATAAAATTATGATTTTTTTTATTAATTCAATGGTTAAAAGACACAGGAGCTGTAAAAAATTGGTGGTGTTGCCAAAACTTGAAAGTGGTCAAAAATTTTTTTGAAAATTTTAATCGCGTTTTTCTGCACTTTTAAAAAGTCTTAAAAATTCCAAGCTTCTTTAGCGAGGACCTATTTCTTATCCCTTTGATTTCTCATCACTAATTTTCAGTTAAGCGTTTCCGTTGGTCAGATATAAGCTTAAACACATTTTTGGATTGCAGACGATTACTCCTCAGCCAAATGTCCAATAGCTTTGAAAATTGGTTTCCATATTCTCCTTCTAATTATCTACCATCGCTGATTCAAAATTTTTAAAAATCGCTGGGGGCCGTTTTCCCTAGGTAAGTCTGCTATGCCCTTTCGGATTTAGTTATCGAAATGTTTTGTTAACGAATTATTTATTCAAAGGTACTTAGTATTGTAGTTAAAAATGAAACTTATTTCTGGTAAAAATTTTATTGTAAAAGAAGTTGTAGTTACTGAGAAATTAATAAAAACAGGCCGCCTTTGCAAAAAGTTGGCATCACTGTCGTGAAAAAATGTCCTATTTTTGCCAGGTAAAACGCTGGCTGTGAAGAAGAAGAAGACATGTAAGCAAAAATGTACAACATTTTTGTTTATTATTAATTTAAACTAATAAGCGTTGCAAATTTTCGGGGGTAAACATAGGTCACCAGCGCAAGATACCATATTCTTCCGATTCATTCGCGATAATATCGACATTGCTAAAGGATTTACTCAGGGCGGCCGCATTCTTGTGAAAAGACCTGGCCAATGAGTTAAATCTCCATGGTAGTCCATGTAAAACCGTTTGTAAGGACCTCCTCTGCGTCCTAGCCTCTCGCAGTTTATGCCTTCGCAAGTACTCTAGAGCACACGGCATTTTGGTTCGCTTTTAAAATTCTTGTCAACTTAGAAATGAAAATAAATCAACGCAGCCGCGGCAAACCGCTGTTCAGGGCTTCAAATTTTTAATTTTTTTCTTTTATTATGTACAATATGCGCTTTAAACATATATTCTTTTTGTAATTTTGAAAGAAAAACATAAATTAAGTTTAAAACTTATTGGAAAATAGTCCAAATAAGTCAAATAAAATTCGATAATTATTGAATATTCGATATTTAGTGTATGCATCCAGCCCTGGTCGTTTTTCGGTAAATTTTCCGAAAAAAGGAAATCTCTCGAATTTCTGTGACACCAACGGTTTTGGTCGGTTGGTTTCTAAACCAACCGTCCCCAAATCCGTCGACGGTTTCTGTGACACCCCTGTATATGTATCTTCCCCCTTAAATATTAAATAAGTTAATATATTATAATTGCACTAGTTTACAAAATAATATTCTTGGTGTGCTCCCCAGCAATTGATGGCAAATTCTGTTAGTGCTGGACCCCTAGATCACAAAAATAGCACTTATTTTTTTTTCGATGGGACAGTTTTTTTTTTTTAATTTTTTAAAGTTCGAAATGTTAAATTTCGGACTATTTTCGAATTTCTTCTTATATCTCGGCAGATATCCACTCGGTTGGGCCAGTTTTAGTTTTATTTTAAAGTCAATAGATCAGAGCTTAACTTTGCCATACAGATCAATACGATTGGATGAGTAATGGCAGCGCAGAAGCTCGACAAAGATGAAAAATGTGTTTTTTGGTCGTCTGTAAGTCGGCTGTATATATCGTAAAAACTCGAAATAAATCCGTTGAAAAATCATAATGGGTACAAACTTAAAGTTTACATCCTACCGAATAAAACAAGCCGGATATGGCCCAAGTCCATGGAAAACTGGATTTATGGTGGATTTTTAAAGTTCGGATTTTTCCACTTTTTTCGGTTGACAGAGTCCAAATTTAAGATTTATCATAGGCGGCGACATGTAAACAAAAATGAGTGGTGACGGCAGCCGGGTCAATTTGAAAAATGACTTCTACATTTCGATAGGTATAAATATACACAACAAAATTGCATTTATACTTCTCGGAAATCTTTAAAGGTGTGACCGCCAGGCACATTTTAAAATCGTTAGTGGGCGATTTTGGGCGTTAGAGGGGGCGTGGCGCTCGTCTGAAATAAACTTGCGCTGCGTAGGAAGCCCAAGAATATGTGTGGAAAATCTCAACCTTCTAGCTTTTGTAGTTTCTGAGATCTCAGCGTTCATACGGACAGACAGACAGACAGACAGACAGACGGACAGACGGACATGGCTAGATCGACTCGGCTAGTGACCCTGATCAAGAATATATATACTTTATGGGGTCGGAAACGCTTCCTTCTAGCTGTTACATACTTTTGCACGAATACAATATACCCTTTTACTCTACGAGTAACGGGTATAAAAACGACCCCAAAGTGCCCCAGAATTCGAT